AAAAATTAGCTGCATGTGGTGGTGCCTGCCTTTGCTCCCAGATACTTGGGAAGCTGAGGCAGGAAGATTGCTTAAACCTGGGAGGTGGAGATTGCCACATGCTGCAATCGCACCATTGCACTCCAGCCTGAGCAACACAGCTAGATCCCATGTCAAAAATAAAAGTGAATTTTGAGAAAAACTTATTGACCTCAGGTGTGCTGCTCTACAATTGTGGTTTGCCCTCAGAACAACGTGCAAGGGAGAGGAGACTCACCAAGGTTCTGAGTTCCTTACATGTGTTCATTCTCCATATCGCCACGTAGGCCTTTCTGTCTATAAAGTTATCTGCAGGAAGTTTGGTCGGTGGGGGCTTAAACCACTGAATTCCAGATGAAGTCAATTCCATTTTTGCTCAGGGTGCACAAACCTGGAGTTTTCAGATTCCCCTTTACTCCTCTGTGACTTCCATCTTTCTTGTCTTTTGCCTAAACATGTTTTAAGGTTATCTCCTTAGGCATCTCGTGGTGCTGCTAGATTTTCCTGCGAATCTTATTCATTCCCATGGTGTCCCTGGGCTGCACTCCCATGATGCAGTTTTCATTGTTTCCTGAGTTTCATGCTTGTATTTCAAGCCATCTCTTTTATATTCACATAGAACCTTCAGTCTAGAGTCACTCTCTTGTCTGGCTCACTAGCTTTGGTTACTGTACAGTATTTGTTCAGTGAACCAGGTTTAGAATTACTACAAGTGGGGATATTTTTTGTTATCACCTCCAGTTTCTTCACTGAGAGCACAGAACTAAAGATGGCAATGATGCTGCTAATTAGTGATGGAGCTGCTGACAATACTTCACTTTGAGGACAATCCCACAAGGACTACTATCAGGCTTAGGAATATCACCTCCTTCCCTTTCTTCCTCTCCTACCAGTTAGGAGTTCATAGTGATAATCAGTATAGATTACTGATTTTTCTTTTGAGATGGAGTCTCACTCTCTTGCCCACGCTGGAGTGCAATGGTACGACCTTGGCTCCCCACAACCTCCACCTCCCAGGTTCACGCAATTCCCTGCCTCAGCCTCCCAAGGAGCTGTGATCACAGGCACTCGCCACCACGCCCAGCTAATTTTTGTATTTTTGGTAGAGATGGGGTTTCAGCCCTTGGCCAGGCTGGTCTTGAACTCCCGACCTCATGATCCACCTGCCTCAGCCTCCCATAGTGCTGGGATTTCAGGCATGAGCCACTGCGCCTGGCCAACTGTACAGCTTTACTCACCATCCATTGCTGAGTATTCTTTGAGCAGCAACTCTCTGCCATTAGGCAGAGTTCCAGATGCTGGGGATAAAGTGACACATGTAACAGACATGGTCCCGGCTGTCTGGCGCTTGCATTCTGGTGTATGTGTGTGTGTGGTTACACTTAAAGATACTTAAGCAAGGATAGTTCTCTGAAGAAAACAACCAAAGGAATGAGAATGCAATGCTAGGACCAGGAGTGTAACCTTTGGGTGGAACAGTGTATTAGTCCTCTTTCACACTGCTATAACTGCCTGAGACTGGGTAATTTATTAAAGAAAAAGAGAGGGAGAGATTTAATTGACTCACAGTTCTGCATGGCTGGGGAGACCTCAGGAAACTTACAATCATGGTGGAAGCAGAAGCAGGCATGTCTTATATGGCAACAGGAGACAGAATGTGAAGGAGGAACTGTCCAACACAAAACCATCAGATTTTGTGAGAACTCACTATCACAAGAATAGCATGGGAGAAACCACCTCCATGATCCAACTACCTCCCACCAGGTCTGTCCCTTGACACGTGGGGATTTTGGGGATTACAATTCAAGATGAGATTTGGGTAGGGACACAGATCCAAATCGTATCAAGGAGGAAGGCCACTTTCAGCAGTGATGTTTGAGCGGATGTCAAAATGATAACAAGAAGCCAGTTTCTAGACAGGCACAGAGGTCTCTCATTCTAAGTGTGCTGCAAAGCCCCTTTAATGAAGACATCTACTTCTTAAATGTAATTGTCAGAATAATGAAGGGTAACATGATTATTCACATTTAGTCAACTTAATTTACATAGATAAAACATAAGGGAAAAATCCAACCTGTCTGTATGTGCATGCACTGATGTTTAAAAATCCATTGGTGGAAAAAAAAAAAAAAATTAGTCAGCAAAATCTTTTCTAGATAAATGCTAAAATCATTATTCTAAGAAAAGAATTCCCCACTTTTACTATGTGTGTACGTGTGTGTTGTGTGTGTGTGTGTGTATGTATATATGTATATATATGTGTATATATGTATATATATACATATATATGCATACACACACACACACACACACACACTCTCATTAAAAAATATGTAAGAGCTCTCCCACAGCTTGAGAGTATTCTATGAAGTTACAAAAACCACTGTTACCTGTTGAGTACGATGTTACATGTGCAATCAAAACTGTTGAGGTTATCTGAATAAAAAATCCCTGGTGTCTATTACAGAAAGCTTTTAATTGAACTTGCCTTGGCAATTTACTCCTAAATCTTCTTTTTTCCCCAGCTCAACATAATATTGTGGGACCCTGTTTCAAAAAAAAAAAAAAAGAGTTCAAGTAAATGCAAATTAAGTTTTTGCAACCTTTTCTCAAGAGATTCTGCACTGGAATACAGACTACAGTATTAAACTACTGTGTGTATATAGTTTCTACAGTTATATACACCATAGTATCTTTTACAGGTGTATAAGGTCAATGGCCCTAGTCTTATTCAGGCTTAAAACGAGTGCTTGCCTTGTAACTCTGCAAATGACCAATAATCTCATAATATTGAAAATCACAAGGTAGGATAAAACGTTCAATTGCTCGTCCCATAAAGCTCACTAGATTTTTTCCCCATTCTCCCCAATCTTAGGAGAGACATGACTAAAGATGTGAGATAAAATTATTTCTTGTAAAAAATAAATGATCATTTCTCAGCTCCATTCCCAAAGTCACATAAGCCTTTGCAATCCAACTTGAGGTCACTTTTAAAAACTTTTCCCCTGTAGCAGGCCCTTGTGTTTTTGTTTTCTCCTCCAATAAAAGTGATTAATTGGGAAGGGGAACATTAGGTGACATTCCTTGCCTTGAGACAGCTTGTGGTGGTTTCCTACACCCTGGGGTGGTAACTCCAGACATGGAGTGAAGCCTCATCTGCTAGAGCTGCGGACAGTTACTAAGGCAGACAGGACTGCATCCCGTGACTCATTTTGGTTGTTTGGTTTCTAAATCTCCTCCAGTAAAAATCCTCCCCCTGGAACCATCTGCTCTTTGGACAAGCTTTAGCCCCCTGAACCTAGTACAATCAGGGTCTGGTCTAGGCTTTGCAGAGCTGGAAGGAAATCCCCGCCACCTCCAGCCGACGCTGTCTAAGGTGCTGAATACCGTAGTCATTGTGTTGCCACCGGCTGAGCTGACACAACCTCTCACCCCTGAGAAATGTTTTCCAACACATTTAACAGGGCAGTGTTAAAAAGCATGGACTCGAGCCTTGGGCCATCTACATCTCATTCCTTTTCCATCAAGATGAGCTGGGTGACCTTGGCCAGACGACCTCCATCTTTCTGAGCCAAAGCACTTAAAAAACATTAAACGTTCAAAACCACAGCACTTAGAATCAGAAGTCCTTTTACCATTTTTCACAGTATAAGGCACTTATTTTTTCTTTAATATCATTCCCTTTTTTTTTAAAGGCAAAGGAACCACAAGTGAACACACTAGTCATGACCCATCAGAATAACAGAATGCTCATCTACAAAAACATTTCCTGATTTCTTTCGGAACCTCTTCCTACTGGGAAATACTGCTGTTTGCTTAAAAAGTGGTGAGAATATATTATGATTCTTCCTTTTAAAAAATTGAATTTGTATACATTTAAGGTGTACAAGTGCAGCTCTGTTACATGGATATGTCTAAAGTGGTGAGTCCAGGCTTTTCCCTCAACCAGCACTAGAACACTGTACATTGTACCCATTAGGTAATTTCTCATGCCTTACTCTCCTCCCACCCTTCTGAGTCTCCAATGTCTATTTCATACTCCATGTTCACAGGTATACATTATTTAGCTCCCATTTATAAGTAAGAACATGAGGTATTTGACTTTCCACTTCTAAGTTATTTCACTTAAGATAACAGCTTCCAGTTCCATTCATGTTGCTGCAAAATATATGGTTTCATTCTTTTTTATGGCTGAATAGTATTCCACTGTGTATACATACCACATGTTCTTTATCCAATCATCGGTTGATATGATTCCCTTTTCTTAGCATATTCTTGGGGTACTTCTGAGTCAGTTCTTTCACTTACTTTTTTGGGTAAGGAGATTTGGCAAGTTTCATTTTCATTACTTTTAATTATCTCCATCATCCTTCTGCAAACCCATGTGCCACAATTCAGAGCATTTTGTGCGTGTAAGACCACAATGAGGGCTCCTTCTGAGAAGACCCCATCCTGGAAATGAAGCCCTCTGTGTTTATGACCCAAGTGTCACCACGTGCTTTTATTTTTGTTTTGTTTTGTTTTTTGTTTTGGAGACAGAATCTTGCTCTGTTGCCCAGGCTGGGGTGCAGTGGCACAATCTTGGCTCACCACAACCTCCACCTCCTGGGTTCCAGCGATTCTCCTGCCGCAGCCTCCTGAGTAGATGGAATTACAGGTGTGCACCACTATGCCTGGCTAATTTTTGTATTTGTTTTCTTTTTTTTTTTGAGCCGGAGTCTCGCTGTGTCACCCAAGCTGGAGTGCAGTGGTGTGATCTTGGCTCACTGCAACCTCTGCCTCCTGAGTTCAAGCAATCATCCTGCTTCAGCCTCCTGAGTAGCTGGCACTACAGACGTGAGCCACTGTGTCTGGCTCAATATGCGGTTGTTATTAGCTATGCCCTTTACTGAACTCCTTTTCTTGACCTCCTAAACCTACACCTGTTATAAAGAAACAAATGCAAAACAAGACTGCAGTGAAAGACTAAAAGAAGTGCATTCTAGTTGAAAAAAATTTTTAATTTTCTCGTGCTACATAACAATGAACTATGGCATCGCCAATCTATCCCATAATTAACTTCTTGTCTTTTGTTCCTTATGAATTTACATATTTAATTATCTATTTAATTTCCCATGGTTTTGCTACATTGACTAAAACTTTGTAACAAGAAAGTCTTTTAATTTAATGGACTTTGCAGTTGATGGGTAACCAGCTTTGGAAGTCATTTTAGCATTACTAAGTGCCCACTGAGTGCTGTTTCGTAACCCTGTACGTTTTCTCTGCCAGGATTTGGAGTCCCTAGTACCTAGGTTATTTGTCCACCAGAACAATGGCTGTAAAAGAGAAAATTGAGCAGTGGTCAGGAGCTTCTGGGAAGGTGCAGTAAAACAGGTTACATCAAAACGATGCTGATTTGAAATGACCTACGCTCTTCTGTCAAGGGATATTGCATTAGTACATTTAATCAAAATCAGGGCCGATTTAGAGAATGTGGCTGAAAGCACTGTTGTAGTCCCACTAGAATTTCTGCTTTGTTTCTTCTTGTTCTTTTCTTTTTCTCCACGAAGACCTAAACTGCTTTGTTTCTTCTGAGAGCTCAGCATACATTTCCACTTTTTCTGTCAAAGTGGACACAATTAAGAGTCTCATAAACGAAGGGGGATTCTGATCCCATGAGACCGACCATCTGCAAAGTGGCTACAGAGCCAGAATGTGGATGTGAACAAATTCGAAATGTGCTGCCCAGCGACTAGAGAAGGGGCGTTTTAGAGCTGTGGTTTCAGTCTCTAGGGATGAGATTTTCATAAATGGCCAATTTATGTGCAAAGGTGACTTTCCTAGGCACCCAGGAAGGCAAATTTAAGCTCTGAGCTATATCAACTGCATTCTGTTCCTATCATGAGCAGTAACAGACGTCTCAGAATTTAAGAGCAAAAGGTGGCTATGTGGCTCCTTGTTTACCTAAGTCTGCATGGCTCTCGTAACAAGGAATACAGCTGTTCATTCTGCTGGGAAGGAAAGGAGATGAAGTTTGTTTTGCCCAACATTTTGGGAATCATAATCACAATGTAATACAATCAAGTATAGTTTGTTTAAGGAATTATCAAAAATCATACTTGGATATCTGATAGCAATTGAGGTTGATAGGCAGGCTTTGATCGTATGCCAACCAGAAAACAATTCCATTCAAATGTGGAGTTGAGAAACACAGAATTAGGAGAATTTATTCAAACATCCATGCAGACATAGTCTAATATCATTTTTAAAACCTATTTCCAGGCTCTCTTGCTCCATTTTAAAGGAAATGCAGTTCTATTTTGAATATAATTCAGGATAGGGCACCAGCTCTCTGATTTATGCAGAAGGACATAAATTCACAAACCTGCCTGGGCTATTTTTGTATTTCAGCAAGGGGTTGTGTGCAGCTGCTGTTTCTGGCAGAAAATAAAAAAAAGAGTGCAAGTAAAAAGTGAACCAAACAGTAAAGACCGTCATTTTTTCTTTATCAAATCCATGAGATCGTCTTCTATTCCTTTCTCACTCAGCTCATCCAGACTGTAGTATCGGTGAACAATTTTGTCGGCAGTGACCACCACGACTCGGAGCCCGTGGGGGTCTAGGCCCAGCTGGCAGCCGATGGCAGATGACACCACCATGTCGAGGTTCTGGTAGCTGCCCCCAGCATTCCTGTGGTAGTGGCCTGAGAACACGGCTTTGACACCTGCAGGGAATGGAAAAAGACATTAGAGGCTGAGGACTTCCACTGGGTAGCCTGGGGTCTCCAGTGTTTTATTCCGTGAACAGTAATATATTAACTACGTTATTATACCATCATGTGGGATTAGCATATTAAATGTATAGTATTATTCTGTATATAATCAACAAATAGAAAGTGTATGTGACGTCCAGAATCTTTGCAAGGATATTTTATATATACAACATATTATTAACATATTTGTCATAACTAGTACAAAAAAGCACTAGGGAAGAAAATGAGGGAAGACGAAGTGAATGACTTTGAGAGAAGACAAAGGAGACTGAAAAAAAACACGTTGAGGCCTACAAAAATATCCGGATGACAGAAGTTATAAAAATAACTTTTAAAAATAATGTTTATGGCCAGGGATGGTGGCTCATGTCTGTAATCCCAGCACTTTGAGAGGCCAAGGTGGGTAGACTGCATGAGGTCAGGAGTTCAAGACCAGCCTGCCCAACATGGTGAAACTCCATCTCTACTAAAAATACGAAAATCGGCCAGCATGGTGGCTCATGCCTGTAATCCCAGCACTTTGGGAGGGCAAGGTGGGTGGACTGCTTAAGGTGAGGAGTTTGAGACCAGCCTGCCCAACACGGTGAAACCCCATCTCTACTAAAAATACAAAAATTGGCCAGGCATGGTAGCTCAGGCCTATAATCCCAGAACTTTGGGAGACCGAAGCAGGTGGATTACCTTAGGTCAGGAGTTTGAGACCAGCCTTGCCAACACAGTGAAACCCTGTCTCTATTAAAAATACAAAAATTAGCCAGGCATGGTGGTGAACACCTATAGTCCCAGCTACTTGGGACACTGAGGCAGGAGAATCACCTGAACCTGGGAGGTGAAGATTGCAGTGAGCTGAGATCGTGCCACTGCACTCCAGCCTGGGTGACAGAGTGAGACTCTGTCTCAAAAAGTAAAATGATAAAATAAATAAATAAAAATACAAAAAAATTAGCTGGGCCTGGTGGCAGGTGTCTGTAATCCAAACTACTTGGGAAGCTGAGGCAGGAGAATTGCTTGAACCAGGGAGGCAGAAGTCGCAATGAGCCGAGGTTGTGCCACTGCACTCTAGCCTGGGTGACAGGGTGAGACTCCATCTCAATCAATCAATAAAAGAATGCTTATGGCCTTCTAATTAAGATGGCAGAGCCTGTTTGACATTTGATGAAGCCCCTCTGCTCCAAACAGCCGTAATAGATAAAATGTAAAACAGAAAACCCAAAGACATAAGTAGGCTCAAAAACAAAACTAATAGCTCCACAGGCCAGACACAAAACTGAGAGGCAAAGTCATGAGTGGGAGTAAAATGCCACCAGGAGTTCACCTCTTAGAAGATCACAGAGACTGAAAGCATTTTCAGGAGAAAATGGGGAAAATAAAGCCTGGTTCCTTGCTGGAAGAGGGGCTATCGTGGGAGCCTCTGTTTATGGAAGGAGGCTGAAGAACGCTGCTGCTACCTGGGGCTGGGAAAAGGTAGGCTGGTAAATGTTTAACACGTTATTATTTTTTTAAAGACCTGATCTGTCATGTTTGTCAATTTCCATGGTGTAAATACTCCCATCGTGGCTGCGGCTGATTTCAAGTTGCCAAGGTGATGTCACTGAACCAGATGTAGAAGAGATGCCCAGTAGTGCTCATTACATATATACCAGATGTTTCTACCATATAGATACAAAAGCTGCCAACAAGCTCAAGAGCATAAATCACAGCAATATTTAGCAAAAGAATTACCAAGTGATCAGTTTTGAGTATGCATTACCTTTGCTTTTCAATATAATTTATTTAATGGTGAGTTTATATAATCTGATTATTAATAATGGCCACTTAACAACCAGCTCACAACATTCCTTAAAACATAATGATGGGTCCTAATGAGTAGGTAGAAGCTGTTTCCAGCACATCACTGGGCTAAGGCTTGTTGCAACCAGAGAGTCTAGGAAGAAAGAAGAGACACACGCTCAAGTCTAGGAACCAAAACGTTTTTCCCAATGTTACCGTAGGGCTCTAAACTACTATTATAAGGCCTGGTCCTGAATGGGGGTGAAGATGGAGATAATGAAAACCACAAGAGAGGGGAGTTAGTCAAGAGAAAGGATGAGGAAAAAACAAAAAACAAAAAAATACCCCTTACTCACACTGACCCTGCAATTAAAAAGTCTGCTGCCATGAAGAAATCACATGGGAAGACAGTCTACAAACCCTTCAGTTGGAACATAAATTTACTCCAGATGAAATTAATTATTTAAAACTAACAAATATTTCAAATAAATGCATTTAAGATATCAAAGGGTCCTTAATAAAGGACTAACACCCATAAAAATCTGTTATGAAACAACATAGGCATAAATTGAATGAGAGTAGGCACTAACGAACATTTAGAAGTAGTGAACACAAAAGAAATACCCATGAAAATTTAAGGTAAAAACAACCCTCAGTCAATGAGATAGGCCAGCCATCATGGCTTCTGCCTATAATCCCAGTACTTTGAAAGGCTAAGGTGTCAGAATCACTTGAGGCCAGGAGTAGGAGACCAGTCTGGGCAATGTAGCAAGACCCCATCACTATAAAAAATAATAAAATAAATAAATGAGATCAATTCTAGGCATCAATCAAAGAGGAAATTGGTGAATTGAGAGGTAAAGCTGAGGAAATGAACCAGAACACAATACAGAGACCCAGACACAAGCAATAGGAACATGCTCTTGATTCGAGTTCTTTGAGTTCAAAGAACTCAAAGGATAGCTTAAGAACAGCAGAAGTTTAGAGGAGCTGGTGGAGGAGAAAGTAGAAGATAATAGTGAGAAGAATTTGAAAAAATAACAAGAAATTTTCCAGAAAGAAGGAAGACACAGGTCCTTAGATAAAAAGTACTACACAGGAAACATGAAAGTTAATTCATGCTGATACATGGTTCAAAAAAATTGTGGTACAGCAAACACAGAGAAAAACCACAGAAAGACAACTGCAATAAAAATATTATAAAGAAATGATAATCACACAGATAGCAGGCATCTTAACAATAACAGACTCAAAAAGTAATGCCTTCTATATTCTGACAGCAAATACCTATGAACCGCAAGTTTTATACCTAGCTAAACTTTCATTTAAGTTTGAGGGCAAAAAAAGACACGTTCGGAATATAAAAACTAAAAATTTACCACGTCTAAATCTTCACTGAAAGAATTGCTGAAACAAGGTATGTTTAAGCAAAAGAAAGGAGAAAACATTTTAAAATGATAATGAGAAAACACCAGTATTTTGGTAAATTGAATTAACTACTGATTTTTTAAAAAAACTTTTAAATGTTAAAAGTGAAACTAAAAATAAAAAATGTCAAGATAGGGAGTTCAGTGGAAAATTAAGGCATATAAAAATTACTGCCGTGTTTGGAAGGAAGATAAAAATACTGAATAACCTGATACTTTGCCAGAAAAAATGTATAGTTACTTATTTCTTTAAAATGTTTGAGCATAACAGCCAAACTAAAAATAAATAAACTGAACTTCATCAAAATTACCAACTTTTGTGCCCCAATAACATTATAAAAAATGAAAAGACAACCCATGGAATGGGAGAAAATATTTGCAAATCATATATCTAATAAGGGTCTAATATCTAGAAAACTTAAAGAGCTTTTACAACTCAACCAAAAGACAACCCAATTAACAAGTGGGCACAGGATGTGAACAGACGTTTCTCCAAAGGAGATACACAAATGCCCAATAACCATGTGAAAAGATGCTCAACATCATTTTTATCTTTAGGGAAATGTGAATAGATAACCACTTCCTGCCCACTTAGATGGCTGTGATTAAAGAGATGGAAAGCAACAAGGGTTCATGGGGATTTGGAGAAATTAGACCCTTCGTACAGTGCTGGTGGGAATGTAAAATGGTACATTTCTTTTGGAAAACATTTTGGCAATTCCTCAAACGTTAAACACATATTTACCATAATTGTGCTATTTCACTCCTAAGTATGTATCTCAGAGAAACAAAAACATTAGTCCATCCCAAAACTTGTATATGAATGTTGATAGCAGCATTCCTAAAATATGGAAGGAACCTAAATGTCCATCAGTTGATGATGGATAAACAAAATGTGGTTACCCATACAATGGAATGTTATTTAGCCATGAAAAGGAATAAAGCAGTGATACCTGCTGTAATGTAGATGCACCTCGAAAATATTAAGCTAAATGAGATAAGCTACTTGCAAAAGGCCCTATCTTGTATGCTTTCATTTATATAAAATGTTGAGAATAGCTAAATCCACAGAGAAAGTAGATCAGTGGTTGCTAGGGGCTGAGGGAAGGATGGAATGGGAGAGTGACTGCTAACAGGTGCAGGGTTTCTTTGTGGAATGGTAAAAATGGTCTGCAATTAGATCATGGTGATGGTTGCACAACCTTGTGAATACATTAAAACGACTAAATTTGATACTTCAAAAGAGCACATTTTATGGTATGTGAATTATAGCTCAATAAAAAAATGCAAAAAAATTACAGGAAGAGGAGGAAGCTAAAATGATTCCATATGGTAATAATGGATTAGAGTTGGAGATATCAGTGGTAATTCATGTTTAGCTTAATATTGCTGTGGATGGTTTCACATAGAAATATTTATAGATGTGTATATACAGAGGCCAGTACACAGACATTCGTTTCCTTGCTTTGTCAGCTGAGAGCCCCTAGAAGCACGTACTAGCAATGAGAGTGCCTCGCAGTCAGATCTCGCTTCCTAGCAAACATTCTCTAATAAAAGGAACTATGGCTCCTTGGAGAAATGGCTACTGTACCACTGAGCAGGAAACACAGAAGATGAGCCTGGAACATCTTGTGTTGCCAGAAAGGAAAGCGATGCTCAGAAATAAAAACCCTGCAACGATGGGGTATGGCAAAGGGACCCAGGAATCAAGCGACAGGATTACCAGTGGCCAAAGCTTACCAATCTGAGCAACCA